ATAAAATATAAAAAATTACAACAAATATTAGAATATACAATATTTAAGAAAGTAACAGGGAGCTTTTCTTTTTTAGATTGTTAAATGTGTTATAACTGTATTCTTGTTTATACATTTAATTATCTCTTTCATCTTAGTTAAATATGATTTAAAAACATAGAAGTATGTATTACACCTAAATAATTTTTTTCACTTAACCAGCTGAGACACTTAAACTGAAATTTTTCACATCTTCCTCACCAGCACCTCTTTCAGCACGGGTTTGATCCCCGGAACTGACTTCATAACCATTTTGTGCTTGTTATAGCTTTCATGCTATAACTTTTAAATTAGTAAGCATATGTTAATGTAATTTAGCAGATTATCAGTGAACATTACAATGCTTTCATTTGCAAAATATCAAATTTTTTTATTACGTTTTAAGTTTATGAAGCAAAGTTTTCTCATGCATTTTTTTTCACATGTTGCCTATCTAATACACAAAGTAATTTTCATTTTAAGATTGAAAATACTTTTGTGCATCAAAAAATTTTTAAATTTCACATGCAAAATCTTTATAATGTCCAGATAGTTATGAAAATTTCTTAAGAAAAAAACTATCTTTTATCTGTTATTTTCAATAATTAATCTCTGTACGGGTTTTGTAGATTTGACCAATCTCGCAACCACCATAAAAAATTAGGAAATAAATATAAATTATGCTTTCATTCTAGAATGAACACATATTATAACATGAAAACATAAATGCTTAGACTAAATAACTAAAATCTCATAACATTATATATAACTTATTTTTATTATATTGACCTTTCAGCCATGACTGGCTAACAATACAGAAGTTACAATGATGCAGCTCATGTGCACTTGTGTTACCGTTTCAAATAACATAAAACTGACCTTTGGTCTGTACAAAGTAACTTGTCTTGGCTGTGTTTTAGTAGACTAGTATTTTGTAAAATGCAATCACATTTCAATTATTACACATTATATGTGTATATAGATTGTTGATAATTTGAAATAAATTCTTAAACTTATTTTTCTTAAAACAATGAACAGTAAATAAAGAAGTAAAGCAAACAATTATGTCTTCTAGTTACAACCTCTGTACTTGGTTACCATTTGATGTAGTGTAACTGTAAGGTAGCTTAACATTTAATATAAATTATTACTACACATTACTGCTTAACTGTAGTCAAGTAGCATGTTGAAACACAAAGTAGAGGAAAAAACTATTGTTTATGCAGATGAAATTGTAACCAACAACTCAAATGAATAGCAACAAGTAAGTAAAATATAATACTGAAATTAAAATAAATTACTGAGATATAATAAAAAGAAAAATGATTCAATAACATATGTTGTGTAGCTAAAACTGTCATGCTTCTTCTTATATAAGAAGCTTTGATTTTTCAAATACATTCTTGAAATGTTATGTAATTAAAGCTCCAATGCTTATATCTATAGCTAGATCTAATAGTGTATAACTGAAGCAGCCCTGTTTTTTCCTCAAGCTAGTCCATTTATTATGTAGCTATAGCTACCATGCTTTCTTCTGGTAGATAGTAGAAATGCTTCATGGCTAAAGCTAATATGATTCTTCTTATAATAGCTAGTTGAAATGCTAAAGCCACCCTGCTTCCTTGTAAAGATAGTTGAAATGTTGTGTGGCTTTAACTACTATGTTTCGTTTATATGCTAGAAATGCTGTATAGCTAAAGCTACAATTCTGTTTCCAATAATTAGATGAAAAGTTGTTTCATTAAAAATATTTTGTTCTTAAAGCTACCATGCTTCTTCCTGTAGCTAGTTGTAACACTGTATAGCTAAAGCTACCCTGTTTCTTCTTAAAGCTAATTTAAATGTGTAACTAAATCTACTATGCTTCTTCCTATAGTAGCTTGTTTAAATAGTGTATGGCTAAAGCTACCATGCTTCTTGTTATAGTTATTTGAACTATTGTGTAGCTATAAGCTACTATGCTTATTTTTATAGATACTAGATAAAAATATGGTTCTTCCTTTATCTAGTTTAAATGTTCTGTGGCTAAAGCTGCAATCCTTTTTCCAATAAGTAGATGAAATGTTGTGTGGATAAATCTGCTCTTTCTACTCTGCTTTTCCTGTAGCTGGTTGAAATGTTGTGGGCTATATATCATGCATACCAGCACTGCTGGGTGACTAAAGCTACCCTGCTTCTTCCAATAGCTAGTAGAACTACTGGATGGTTAAAGCTACCCTGCTTCTTCCAATAGCTAGTAGAACTACTGGATGGTTAAAGCTACCTTGCTTCTTTCTATAAGTAATAGAACTGCTGTATGGCAAAAGCTACCATGCTTGTTCTTACAGATAACAGAAATTCTGTGGGCTAAACCTACTATTCTTCTACCATTTACTAGATGAAAAGTTGCTTCACTAAAACTATGATACTTCTTGTTATAGCTAGTTGAGCTGTTGTTTCAAAAAATTGACCATGATTCTTACTTTAAATAGTTGAAATGCTGAATGGCTAAAGCTACACTATTTCTTCCTAAAGCTAGTTGAACTGTTGAGTGGCTAAAATTACCATGCTTCTTCCTATAGTTATAGTTATTTGATGTGTTGTATGAATTAAGATCCCATGATTCTTCCTATAGCTAATTAAACTGTTGAGTGAATATAGCTACCATACTTATTCTTGTAAATACAAGAAATACTGTGCAGGTAAAGCTACCCTATTTTTACTCGAAGCTAGTTGAAATATTTTGTGCTATAGCTACCATCCTTTTTCCAATAACTAGATGAAAAGTTGTTTTACTAATGTTGCCATACATCTTCTAATAGCTAGTTGAAATGTTGTTTGGCTAGAGTTACCATGCTTCTTCCTGTAATAGCTAGTTGAAATGTTGTTTGGCTAGAGTTACCATGCTTCTTCCTGTAATAGCTAGTTGAAACATTGTGTGGATATGCTACAATGTTTCTTCTTGTAGATACTAGAAATGTTGAGTAACTAAAGCTGCCATCCTTTTTCCATTAGGAAGATGAAATGTTGTGTGAATAAAGCTACCATTCTTCTTCATATAGTTAGTTGAAATGGTACGTGGATAAAGTTACCATGCTTCTTTCTATAGCTAATTAAAAAATTATGTGGCTGTAGCTACAATGTTTCTTTCATTAAAAGCTACTTGAAATACTGATTGGCTAAAACTAACTAGTTTTTCCTAATGCTAGTTGAAATTCAGTGTGGGTAAATATACCATGATTATTCCTAAAGATAGATGAAATGTTGTGTGGCAATAGCTACCATGCATCTTTCTTTACTGGTTGAAATGTTGTGTCATTAAAGATATCATGTTTCTTCTTATAGACACTACAAATGCTGTATTACTGAAGCTACCATCTTTCTTCCAATATCTAGATGAAATGTTGTGTGCATAAAGCTACCCTCCTTTTAACTAATTTTTTCCATCGAAAGTTCATTGAAGTCAAACCTGAAACTGGAGAAACCATATATCAGTTTGTGGCACATCTATGGCGATACTTCACAAGATGGACTGACATGGTCAAGTGTGAAAATAGTTTTAAAGGACTGACAAATTTAGTAATATATCTGAACAGTTCATGATCACTTGCTCTACTAACATGTTACTGTTGCTAAATGAGAGAGCACCAAAAGATGTGGAGGAGATGATGAAGCTGGCAGAACAGTATATGGAAGCCCACGGAGGGAATATAATGGGCAAGTCCAAAATATCCAGTTACATTAGAAAACAATGATGGTTAACAGATAGAAGGGAGAAGGGATAAGATGGGACACATTGCAAAGGAGTGCAAGTCTATTACCAGCAAACAACAGTAGAAACCTCAACATAAAGCAGCTGGAGCCACAAAGATAATGTTGGTAAGAAACAAGAAAAAAAGTGACTGGCACTATTAATGCTGCTGCCAGAAGAAAGAGAATCAAGACTACTTGTCAAATTCAGTTCAAGAAAGCATGATTGATCAGTGCATGACTAATGGTTGGCTCAAGTTAGCAAACAAATCAATAGTGCCAATAGTGATGGGAGCTTGTGACAAATATCAAGAAGTGCCAACAAATCATAATATGCCAATATGTGAAGGCTACGTTGGGGACAAGAAAGTGAAGGTTCTAACCATGTGTATCAAGGAACCAATACACAACTTGGTAATAGGAAATTTACCAAGTAGTAGAAATTTGGAGGAACTAGACAGAAAGAAGATTGATAAAGCATTTGCTATTACCACCAGAGCTCAAGAAAAGAAGAAAGAGCAAACAAGACATCAAGTCCCTGCAAATGTCAAAAGGCAACTTCCCAAATTTAGGTTTGCAGGAACTGAAGGAAGCACAGAAGAAAGACCCTTCACTGCAAAACCTTTGGGACAATGCCGTGGAGAAAGTCGAGCACAAAACAAAGAGGAAAGCTACTTATGAAATAGAGGACAAGAAGGGAGTTCTATACTGAATCTATCAAGGCAATTATACAAGGAAGTTAAACAGATCATAGTACCAACAGAATACTGGACTCAAGTTGGTTCATGAATCAATTGTGTGAGGACACCTAGGAACAAAGGAAATGGTAGACAGAGTCACCAGAAACTTCCATTGGCCAAAAGTGATCTGAGATGTGAGTAGATTCTACAGGTCATGTGACATCTGTCAAAGGACAATACCTAGAGGGAAGGTAGCCAAAGTGCCATTGGGGAAGATGCCTCTCATAAAAGAGCCATTCAGCAGAGTAACTGTGGACTTGGTCGGGCCACTAGCACCTGTGTCTGACAAGGGCAACTGGTATGTGTTGACAGTAGTAGACTATGCAACATGTTATCCGGAAGCAATAGCATTGGCAAAGATAGAGACAGAGAGAGAGTAGCAGGAGTCCTCCTGGAGATATTTTGCAGAGTAGGCTTTCCATGAAAAATCCTGTGCAGACTCATCAGTGCTCAGCAACTCTTTACCACCCCATACATGGACTTTGTGAGATAGTCAGTGAACTTTTAAAGAGCATACTAAAGAAGATGTGCCAAGAGAGACCACATGATTGGGACAGGTACTTGCAGGCAGTATTAATCACTTATTGAGAAGCCCCACAAGCAAGTACAGGATTTTCATTCACCCTTTGAGCTCCAGGTAGTCAGAAGCATTTCTGTGACAAAAAGGCCAAGGATTGATACTTCAAAGTTGGACAAAAGGTCTTAGTTCTGCTTCTCACAGACCACAACAAACTCACCCTGCAATGGAAAGGACCTTTTGAAATATAGGAATTATTCAACAGAATGGACTACAAGGTGAATGTGAACAGGAAGACCAAGATCTACTATGCCAATCTGTTGAAGAAGTATATTGGGAGATAAGAAGACCTAACTGGTGCAGCTATTGATGTACAAATGGACATGGCAGGTGTGGCTGTCATGGAAGTAGAATCTGAAGACAATGACTTCATTACAGAAGATAAGGACCTCCTAAGCCTAAGAACACTGAGTAGAGATGAGACGTACAAGGACATCAAACTGACTTATATGAAGAGGGAAGAGAAACAAAATTTACTGTGTCAGCATACAGATAAGTTAGGAAACACAGACCTCAGGCAACACAAAGTCAAGGTGAAGATGAGAGATCCTGTTAAGGAGAAGCCCTACTGGAGACCCTATGCTAGGAGAGACAGACAAAGGAACTGTGAATATTAGTGTAGACTGTATGAGCAGACTTTGTGTATGAACTAAGAATAGTCTTTGTGTATAGTAAAAAAATTTTTTTAAATATATATCTTGAAGAGGGGTTTGTCTTGATATAAAAGACTGTTTAGTGTAGATATAATTGATTAAAATTATTTTGTGAGTTTAGTTTTTCTTACAATAAGAGTTAAAAGATGATTGTTGGAAGTTATGTTTATAATTCATTGATGTTGAGACTATCGAATGTCGTGCAATATATTGACATCGAGATTATAAAGATTGCTAGAAGGTGGGCAGATGATTAAATGATAAACATATAAATAGTGTGAGACAGCAGACAGACAATAGCAGAAGAGAGTAAAGTTACGGGCAACGAAAAGTTTGGCATGAAGTTAACTACCGTAGAAGTGATAGGCCTAATGATTAACGTAGGCCTCACATTTAATATGTTACAGTAAGCCTAACAGTAGAAAAGGAGATAAGAAGATAAGAATTATTCTGTTAAAATGTGGTTCTAAAGTAATTGAATCAGCCTGAGTGCACTTTTACAAAAGGAACAGAGGATATTTAGAAGAAAGAAGACCAAACAATTACCGTAACTCACGCCACAATTGTAAGTGAATCACACACAGAATATTAGTGTGATAGTAATATAGAAGATAGTTCAGCTTGTCAACTGAAATTTTAAAGCAGTTGAATAGGCCAAGATAATCCTCAACAATATATATATATATATATATATATATTGTTGTCTTAGTCAACAAAACTAATTATGGAATGTTATAGTGTGTTCTGATATTATGGTTGTTATATGGTTAGTTTTTAACTTTATTGGTT